TGCCAGGGCCGTACCAGCATTGTGCCCTCGGGGTGGGTGGGCGTGGGCGTGGCCTACTGGGTGGGTGTGGCTGCAGTGGACACGGCAGACTGAGTGGGCGTGGCCAGCGTAGGTGTGGCCACCTTGATGTTGCTCATAGGGGGATGCCTGTGGGGTCTGGGCAGGATTGGGGGAGATCCAGGAGGTCTCTGGTGGGTGGGGCAGTGGGCAGGAGGCTCGTCCTGTGGGGTGAGGCAGGGGGTAGGGCGTGAGTGCCATTGCTGCGGGACAAGGCGAGGCAGGGGCGGCTGCTGCCTGACACCATCAGCCCCCGCGCACACAGAGGTCAGCAAGCGCATGGGGGCGCGCTCTACCACCTCTACTCAAGCTTGCTAGCCAGCTACTTTGCCTCCTTTGTGCTGGGTGGGGCTGCCACTCTGGGCCCAGCGGTGGCCTAATGGACCTGTGCGAGATGGCGGTGGTGGCAGGTGTGCCCACAGAGAGGGCCCTGTGCCGCCTCTGGCACGCGTGCCATAGGTTCGCCATCACTGTTCTATTGGCTTTCGAACGCCAATAGAATAGAGTCTCTTGAGTAGAGTCTATTGGCTTTCAAAAGCCAATAGAATAAGAGAGAGTAGCACAGCTAAAGAAAAGGGGAAAAAATGGCAGACAGCCTTGTTTGGCGACTCCTGTGAAATGGTCGTTCGACCCACAGGTTGAGAACCGCTGTTCTAAACCTAAATTTCACAACAATAACTCTTTTGCTGGAAAGTGATACTGATGAGTTCATTTTATCTCTTTATTTAATGCAAAGAAACCAGTAGCGCAGTGGATCTAATCGAACATCTTTTTTGGTGATACAAATCTAGTGATTTTTCCTTGACTGCTAGGTAGCTATAGGATAGGGCTTTTCAACCTTTTCACCCATTGTACCACTTTTAGGATATGGCAATATCCGAGTACCACCAGTTGCCTAGCAAGGTGTCAAAAACTTGATGACAAAAAAAGGAAAAAAGTGATGAAGTACAGGTAGTCCTCGACTTACAACAGTTCGCTTAGTAACTGTTCGAAATTACAATGGCACTGAAAAAAGTGCCCCCCAAGCCACAGCCGAGCAAGACACCTGCCTGCCCGCCCAGCTGCCCTCTTTCTGTCTGAGGTTTTCATTGTTGTGAGCATTTCTGTTGAGGATTGGCAGCAGGGATGGGGGGTGTTTGGTTTTTATTCCCCCCATCTGCTGGGTGGTTGCAGCAGATTTTGGTCACTTCACATGACCCTGGGACACTGTGACCATCATAAATATGAATCAGTTGCCAAGCATCTGAATGTAAATCACAAGACCCTGGAGATGCTGTAACATTCCAGGTGATCGGCGCTTCTGGGCTCAGCAGAAGCACCAGGATCAGCCCCGAGCTCCAGCTGGAGCCTGGCGCTGATCCTGGTGCTTCCGCTGAGCCCTGACAGCCCTGCAGCTCCAGCCATCTCTCACTCAGGCTTGTTCGGTGCTGCCACTGGTTCAACTCATTCCCCTCCCCCACTACCACTTTTCTAGGATGGTCACGTACCACCTGCCAGGTGCCAATGTACCACAGGTGGTACCCGTACCACTGGTTGAAAAGGCCTGCTATAGGACATTTAAATTTTCCCATCTCCATTTAGTCTGTGCTCTTAACTATTTCTCAAGTGCTATTAATAGTACTAATTATATTAATTACTAGACAACTACCTGTTAGGTTATCCTTTCAGAGATATTTCCTTATCTAACTGATAAACAGAATAACTATTGATGGACAAAAAAAAAAAACACAAATGGGAATAGGATGAACTTCTGAATTCCTATCAACATCCCCATTGATTTTGCTTGTAGGAAGCTGGCAGGGAGTGTCAGAAGTGATGATTATGTGCCTATAGTGATCCTATAGCAGTCACAACCTTGCAATTACAACTGGTGTGAAGATCCTTGAAATTTCCATTACACAGAAGTAATGACTTCCAGATTATGTACTCATTCTTTTAAATTAGTGGATTTGAGGTATGTTGATTCAAACATTCTAGCATGATGATGCATCATTTGGGCTATTTGCATTCAGAAATAACTCTATTTAATTTATTACACATGTTTTTATGTGGCCCATTTGGAATCAATTCCTGATTTATAAAAGTTAAGATTATTTGTTATTAAGAGACGGTGTAATTCCTTACAACAAAATGTTCCCACAAGGCTTTTTAGAAGCAAATTTGTTCTGATAAGGAGCACTGGAAGAGTATGATTTGGATTTAAACTTTAATTAATACATCTACATACCATTAAAATTCTGTTTGATGTCTGTTTGATTTTTTTTTGTAATCATCAATTAGAAACATCACATCATAAGGCAACATAGCTCAAATGGGCTAATTTAGAGAATTTGTCAAAAATCTGGGACTCATGGCTTCTGTGAAATTGAAATTTGGCAAAGTTGTGGCTGCTTCAGTGTTTTTCGCTGTCGCAATCAGTCACAGCCAAGTAATATTCATTTCTAACATTCCTGCCAGTTTCCTACAAGGAAAGACAATTGAGAAGCTGGCAGGAAGTTAGAAGTTGTTCCCATTCCCTTTGCCTGTCCAGAATCTTTCTGTTTTTATATTCAGGTAAGGAAATATCTCTAAAACTTTGACCCAAAAGATCTCAGCTTGTCTAGTACATTATAAGAGTGGAATTATATAAATATTGCTAATGTATGGCTTTTGCATAGCAAATACTAAAGTGCAGCAAATCGTAATGTATTTTTCTGAGTGGAGTTTTTGCAATAATTCACTAAGAAAGTCTCTGTGCAATTAGAAACCATGGCTTAAGGAGTAATAGATCTCAAAAGAACATGTATAATTCAGTACAGGATTACATATTTTGCATACGTACAAAGAATAATGAAATATTCTCTTTTTTTACTTTCCTTCAAGTTAAGGAAATCTGGAATTTCAGGGTAACAATCTTAGTATTTAAAACACCATTATTAGTTGTTGATAAACCATGTGACTTATTCTTTGCATAAAAACATACCGTAACTCAAGGTATTCTGAAGAAATTAATAGTTGATTTAACAAACATGCCAATTTATTTTCATGTTTTTTATTGTTGATTAAAAGTATACCTGAGATTTATGTTCAGTTTTGATATGTACGAAAATTTTAAATGTGAACATTTTGTTTCTAACATGATAATTTAGGAACACTTTTACACAATAAACAGTTAAACAGTTTTATTTTATTATACCATTGGCTCAAGCTGAGCAAAAGGACCATATTGCCTTTTATTTTGGTTTGGTACTTTTCAATAAGATTTTACTTTGTTTTAATTATATTGCTGTTATGTTTTTTTATTTCCCACAATCTATTGGGCACAAGGCACCTTAGAAAAATCACTGAATGAAGAAAGAAATAAAAGAGTCATGATTGCTTGTTTTCGAACATTTCGACATGCTACAGTTGCAACCTAAAATTCACTTTTTTTTTATTAAAAATTTTTAAGTTTTACAAAACAATTCCCTTCCCCAAACCCCCCCAACCCTCCCATACCCTCCCCCAACCTTCCCAGAGCTGAATACAGGCTTAATTCAAATTTTTTCAAAAAATCTTAGAACACATATAAACTATAAGCAAATCTAAATACATTAAACAACTTATAAAATAGTTAACAATAATATATAAAATAAAATACAAGAAGGAAGAAAAAAAGAAACAGAAAAAAAGAAGAATCAAATAAAAAAGAAAAACAAAAAAATAAATAAAAAGAAGAATTAAAAAAAAGAAAGATCTATAAAATATCTTAAATTTTAAATATAAATTATTGAAAAACTAAATAATATTTTTTATATCCAACTTATATTGTATAAAATCTATCCATTTTTTCCATACCAAAAATACTTCTCTTGTGATTGATCTTTCAAGAAAGCCGAAATCTTTGCCATTTCCGCCAAGTAAGAAACTTTAAGAAACCACTCTTGCAAAGTAGGCAAAGATTCCTTCTTCCAACATTGCCCTACTAACAACCTTGCCGCTGTAATTAAATTTAACATCAATGTAGTCTCCTTACTATCACAATCAGAACAATTGTGGGGTAAATTTTACCCTTCTTCTAAAAATTCTTTGGATATTCCACCATATCTTAATCCAAAAAGCTTTTATATTTTTACATGACCACCAGATGTGATAATAGGTAGCATCCAAACATCCACATCTCCAACATTTAGGCTGCAGGTCAGGATACATACAAGACATTTTTTGTGGATCAAGGTGCCATCTATAAAACATTTTATAAAAATTTTCCCTTAAATTTTGGGCTTGTGTAAATTTAACATTCCTCACCCAAATAATTTCCCAGGTATCTAATGGAACCGGCTCATCAAAATTTTGTGCCCATTTAACCATACATTCTTTAACTAATTCTGCTTCTGAATCCAATTCTACTAACACCCCATAAATTCTCTTAATATGTTCACTAAAATTCACTTTTATGGACTTCTTTCAGCTGCTTTATTGAAAGAAGCTTTTATGCATTTGGAAATAAGAATAGATGTTTGAAGCCTTAAAATCATGCCTTGAGAGAATATTTTAAAGTTGTCTAACTAGGTATTCATAGTCATTTTCTTGTTATTCTTATATAGTATTAAATTAGCACATGTTATTTCTGTCTCTAATGTGTTAACTTACTGATTCCCACAGCAAATCTTACAACTATATGTTGATGGGGTCAAGGATGTATATACAAAGTCCCAGGTTCCAGAAAGCCTAATTCTGTGAGCAGTTAAGATTTTATACTGAAACTGTTAACTGCTATAGTCAGTCTCTAAATGAGAAGAAAACAGCATTACCTATGTCAGTTTAAATAGTTTGGAGATCTAATTGCATCCTTTCTGTTTCTGGGGGCAAAGCAGCTATGTTAGTTATACTTGCAGTTTTATTTGGCTGTACAAATAAAACTCCGGTATGTATGTGCTTAGATTGCTAAATATTATGTTTCCGTTTTACACTTTGTGTTTTAGGATATAGATAAAAATGAAAAAATTGGTGAACTGGACCTCAGAAATGTTTTAGAAGTTCCTGAAGTTGTTCCAGCAACAGACAGCACTCCAGAAATTTTTAAAAAGGCTCTTTCTGGCTTATCTTCCAGGTATGAGGGACAGATGCACCTGGAATGATATTAACTTAAACTTAATATTTGTCACATGCTACATGCAAAGTTTGCTTTTGAATAAGTTGTTTAGAAGGGTCTTCAGCAACCATTTAAATGGAAGTGGGCATGTTAACAAAGTTCAGACCACTCTTTTACGTACAAATGTTGAGTTAGTTAAACATTTCTAATGCACTGTAGTTTTATTGTATACTTCACATATGTATCTTACCCACAGAATGACTGCCTGAATCCTATGGTTATTTCTTTAGAAGTAAGATCACTGAATACAAGTAGACCTATTTCTGATAGATGTACAAATGTTGTCAGTTCTCAATTTGAAGTTGAATTTATTTTTTAAAAATTCCTGTATTCAAAACTTTCATTGTTCGTAATGTTACTGATTAGCTAAACATTATAAGAGTTTGTAAAACCAACTTTTTTTTTTTCCTTTTTCAGATGGAAGAACTGGTGGATTCGTGGAATTTTAACTTTAGCAATGATTTCAGGTTTCTCCCTTATTATATACATGGGATCATTTATGCTGATGCTGCTTGTAAGTTTTATAGCTCAACATTTCATGTAATTCTAGGTGGAACTATAAAAGTCACAATCCAAGGAATAATTATAACAAAAATGAATGAAGATGTTCATGCACAAGAGGTGCCTTGCAATGTTGCAATGAATGGGCAATTTTCAGAATTCCTGTGGTTTTGTTGGAATAATATGGTCCTCTATAAGAGCAGAAGAACAATTCAGTTTCATTTAGTTAAGACACACTGACTTGTACAAATTCTAGAAAGGACAGCATATGAATATTTTATAATCTCTCATGCTTCTGGAAAACCCTGTGTTAAACCTCTGTCACCCCTTTCCATTATTTCAGGTCTTAACCATACAAGTCAAGTGCTTTCATGAAATCATCACTATAGGTTACAGAGTTTATCGATCTTATGACTTACCATGGTTTAGAACATTAAGCTGGTACGTAACAACTGGATTTTTTTAAACTTTAGCTCTGATTCCAAACTTCTTCTTTTTTTTTTTTATCATGGTTGCTTTCTAAGAAAAATATCAACCTAGAATTTAATGATTCTGATTCCAACCACTGTGTGTTGCTTCCATTCAAAATGCATGTAAATTGAACCCTATTGAGAACCCCTCAACAGTGGGATAAAATCAACTTAATTGAATTAATAAAGTGTTCCAAATTATAAATATCAAATGACACTAATTTAAATAATTGTATTCTTCATAGGGCAAATTATGACTATTTTAGACAATCCTCCATCAGTTGTAGGGTGTGTTTTAAAGTATCAGAATATTTGGATCTTATTAAATTGAGTGAATGTTTTGATTCTATCAAGTTATATGTAATATGTATAGATCTCACAAAGTAATTAATCTATAACGTATGTTGCAGGTATTTCTTGTTATGTGTGAACTATTTCTTTTACGGTGAGACAGTAGCAGATTACTTTGCTACTTTTGTTCAGAGACGAGAACAACTTCAATTCCTAATTCGCTACCACCGATTTATATCTTTTACACTTTATCTGGCAGGTAATAATAAAGCTCCTCAGTAGTCAATGTATTTTGTGTACTTGATGTAACCTGTTGAACCTTCCACTTCTGGTACTCTTCTTCAAAATAGAAAAGGTGGCCCTTATATATGGCCTTAATACACTTATTAGGATGAATGGAGAACATTCATAGCAATTTGTTGCAAAGTGCGTTGACATAAGCAGTGGCCGTGGGCATTTTCCAAGGGTATTTCTGTCTGCAGGTGCACATAAAACGTTTTGCTGGCAGAAAATCCGAAAGAGCTGTTGCAACTGCTTTCACAAGGCTTTTTGGAGAATGTCTTGTTCTTTAAGGAGGTTCTCTTTGTTTGCACCAACATGCTTTGTGGAACACACTTTGAATACTTGACATAGCTCCATAGCGTTTGAAGATTAAAAAGAAAGTAATATAAAATACATATCCAAGAGTTACAGTGAATATTGTAGACTTATCAAATACTTTTGTTACTCTTGCTGTCATCTATTCTTAATGAAGATTTACACTATAGATTAGCTCCGATATTGGAGTATGGATCAGAAAAGACATGGCAATCTTTGTTTTGCCCTGAGAGCATAAATTTAACAATAGCATTGTAATAATAATAGAAGTAAGTAATTATTTTTTCTATTATGCATTTTATATCGGTTTTTGAAGAATAAAACTCTAAGAAGAACATGTCAGGACAACTTTTTGTCAGGTTTCTTTAGTTTCCTCTCCATTTAATTTCAAGCTGTGTTTAGGTAGCAAGGACACTACCATTTTCAAGGAAGGAGAAATTCTCTGGATCACATAGCAGGCAGAGGGCAGAGTTATATTGCATATTTTCAAAAATTGCATTCCTGCTTTGTAAATGTAATATGCATTAGTAGCTGCAGAGATTCTAATCTAGGGCATTTTGGGTAGTAGATTATATATGATAGATAGAAGCTGCCCTTTCATGTGCCTTTCCCTACCAAACTTGCATGGTGTACAGATCATCAAGGTGTACAGTATGTTAATTTGCAGAGCTTTATTAACAGTTAAGGAAGAATGAATGTTACATAGAATTTGCGTTTTTAATAGGGGACAACATTATGGTTTCAGAAGATGATTTATAGAAATTCCTTAATTAACTGACTCACTGTTTAAGGTGAAGAACAATCTAGAAATATTGGTTTTTTAAAAAATTATTTTCTGCAAAGCTAAACAAATAGCTAGGACTTCTATTTAAAAAGTATTTGACGCAAACAGGTTAGTTTTTCAGATGCAATAAATTATAAATTAATTTATGCCACTGTGTTTTAAAGACTTCCTTGAATCAGAATATAGTAGTTACATTTGCAGATATTAATTAGCAGAACTTGAGAAATAGGATCTTTGCTTACAGTTTTCATACTGCAAATCATGTGGTTTATCTTAAATTATATAGTGACTTAAATTATAAACTGACCTAGTGAATATCTGAAGGGGAAAAAGACTTGGATGGTGACAAGTGACATCACATATATCATGATACAAATGACACAAATACGTACAGTACATATTTTTGTGTGTCATGATGGAAACAACACAGTATTGAATGTATTTATTCAAAATATTTATAGATTGCAGTGTGGGCTCTTAGTACAAATGGACTAATAATGAACGCTCTTCTGATGAACTTGATATGATTTATTTAGCATAAAAAGAACAATGCTGTAAAACATACATCTGTCTTCTTTATTTGTATAGGATTTTGTATGTTTGTGTTGAGTTTGGTGAAGAGACATTATCGCTTACAGTTTTATATGGTATGTATCTTTGGGTATCTCAGTTGCTTTTTAAAAATGTTTTGTTTTTGTAATAGAAATGTTCATGAAGTAAATTTTAAAGACTCATGGACACAGGTCAAAATTACTTACATCATGTTATTATTTCCACATTTTATTTGATTGCAGTAGGGATACCTTTAGTAGTGAATAATCCCAGATTCTTAAAATAGGAAGATTATTCTAACATTAATTATTCAATAATTCTAAGCACGTTACAATGTTTTCAGCACAAAGAAAGATTCCTATTTTCTATAGACTTCAGTCAGCAAAGGTGCCTGTATTGTAAATGTTCTGAATGAACATTTAAATATGAAATTGACAATTTTTGCATCCTGTGATTGTATATTAATGTAAGAGCTGCCTTGGAAAATCTCCTCGTGGCACTGCTTTGCAGGGGAATTGAAGATTTCTAACCCTAACCCTATCTCTGGTAGTAAAGACACAAAATCTTAAATGATTATTTGTGTGGTAATATCTAATCCAAGCCTATTTAGAGCTAATATGATTTTTAACTGATGGCCATTTCAATTAAGTTAGGAGTTTGAAAATTCTCTAGAAACAGAAACTGAAGGTTATGTGCTTATATTGGAAAAGATATTTCTTTTAGTATTTTCACTAGATCAAACTAATAAAGATCTGGGTCAAATCTAACAAAGTAATTGGTAGAATGCAAATGGAAATTAAACCTTTTATGTTAGTTGAGCAAGCATTAAATATATTGAGATTGTTACTTCATTATACAAGAGCCAGCACATTGAATTTATCGAAAAGAATGGACTTTTTATCTAGTTCTCTGGAGATCACATTTTAAGAATTAATAATTTGTAGAACTCACATACACTTTTTCAGAGTTACATAGCATGGTTTCATCCTGTCATACATCATTATCATTTAAATATTCCAGTTCTAAATTGTGTATACATCTAGACTGATTATTATGATTTTCGTTATATGCCATTCATATTAAGTTAATTTTTTACATTTTTAATTAACAAGTAAAAGATATGAATATTGTTATAGATGTCTGTTCTCATAACTGTCTTGTCTTGTAAAGTTTTTTGCTTTTGTAACTAATTGTTGTGTTATTACACTATTACCAGTTCGCATGGACTCATGTTACTTTGCTGATCACTGTAACTCAGTCTCATCTTGTCATCCAAAATCTCTTTGAAGGCATGATCTGGTAAGGGAACAATAATTCTTGCAAATGTGGGTATTTATATATCTATATCTATATTCTGTCTCTAAGGAGCATTGCTATTTTTCAGGGGTTCTTCATAGTTTTGAAGTGAGACTTTTCTTATCTCTCAGCAAGAATATACTGCTATAAAATTTCACAGTTAAACCCTTCATCCTCTGATTGATAAGAATTGGTCATGATAATCAAGCTTTCATCTGGTGTGGGTAGGTTTGAATTAGAAGATTATTTTTGCCTCGTGGGAGAGCAGAGAGAGGTGAGCAGGTGCCAGGATAAAGTGTAGATCAGGGGTAGTCAACCTTGGCTCTTTTATGACTCGTGGACTTCAACTCCCAGAATTCCTGAGCCAGCATGGCTGGCTCAGGAATTCTGGGAGTTGAAGTCCACAAGTCATAAAAGAGCCAAGGTTGACTACCCCTGGTGTAGATGGATAAAGCGTGTCAACTGGCTTCAAAACAAGGAAAAGTAGAATCCGGCAGCCACTCCATGTCCATCAGAAACATTGAGAGCCTATAGTCAGCCAGCAGCCACTTTCCTTTCCCCACACTGGCAATTGAAGGATAACTTAAGCCTATGCATTGCTAGCACTTCAGAGCAGCAGACAGCAGTGTTGAACTGAGAGTAAGCAGGATCCAGCCTATCAACAGAAGCCAACTAACTCCAAGGTGGCTAAATGGTGGCTAAAGAGATACTTTTAAGAGTACAAAAAAAACCTGCAGATGGGATTCTTTAGGATTTAGGAATATAATGTATGTGGGAATATATGCAGAGATAAGTGGGGTATCATGCTAAGAGTTAAATGGCAAATTAAGAAGTAAATAAATACAAATGGTTCTTGACCCCAATTAGGACCAGATGGTTGTTAAGTGAGTCACACCCCAATTTTACCACCTTGTGGCCATGATTGTTAAGTGAATCATTGCAGTGGTTAAATGCATCATGCAATCGGTAAGCGAATCCAGCTTCTTCCATTGACTTTGCTTGTCAGAAGCCAGTTGGGAAGGTTGCAAATAGCAATCATATGAATTTGGAATGTTACAACTGTTATAAATACATGCCCAAAGTTTGATCACGTGATCATAGAGAAGCTGTAACTGTCATAAGTGCAAGGATCGGTCATAAGTCTCTTTTCAGCTCTGTTGTAACTTGAAATAGTCACTAAATAAATGGTTATAAGTCAAGGGCTAACTGTACCATAACGTTAATGAGCATTATTGTGTTAAGCTTATTGCATAACACAGGGGTGTCAAATTGCCGGCCCGCGGGCTGGATGCGTCATGCCAAAACCGTGCCCACGCCATTGCCGGCAATGGCAAAAAAGTCACGATATGTTGCGACATGTCATGTGATGTTACAAGTTTGACACACCTGGTATAAAATAACAAGCAAGATAACACTACACTTTTTTTTTGATCTGCACCTTTTTCTAAAGTCCTCACAAATCCAACCAACATAGTAGCAGCACTTGCTACTATACGATACTTAAGAGTACAGTATCTGCTTGTTGAAAATGATACTTGGATATACAATGATATACAATAATACTTGGGAGTATAATGATGCTTGTAGTACAATATCTGTTGAAAATTCATGGATGAATATAGTGTAGCAGCCATGAATTATTGAAAATCACTCTCCCTGATTCAAATGGCTATAGTTTCACTGGTTTGGGCTACCATTATGCCTACCTCATTTTCTTGTTCAGCAGCTGCTCTTAAATTAAAATGAAAATAAGATTCCCTTTGGCAAAAAGGTAATGACTCTCTTGAACTGAGTTCAGTTCTTGGTGATTTAGTAGACACAGTATTGTTGAAGTATACATTACAGATCAAGGCATTATGGTGATAATACGGTCTGGTTTTTTAAATTTAAATAATTTAACTTCCCCCCCCCCTTGCTGTGCAGGTTTCTTGTTCCAATCTCAAGTGTCATTTGCAATGATATTGCTGCTTATATATTTGGATTCTTCTTTGGCAGAACACCATTAATTAAGGTAAATGAGTAAAAATACATAGTTTGAAATACGCACATTGATTACAAGATAGTTCAGAGAAATTTTTTAAATACTTCCAGTATTTTCTCATATTGCTTGATATCTGAGTGACATTTCCTCATCCAGTCTATGCAGAAACCACCTATGGTTTTGATAAATACTTTATTATTTGAGAGGCATCCCTTATAAAGCTTTTTTAGAAATCTGTCAGAATTGGTAAGAGACATAAAGGGTGTTTTTCTGACAGAGAAAGTGCAAAATAAAATAATTTGTGCTTGTATTTCTAACACTATAATCTTAGTTTAACAATCTAACATACAGTACATTCATATTAGCTGGATAACATTATCTTCTGATTGTTATAATTCTACTGGGTTGTAAATTGCTTGATTTATTCTATTCCTAGTTATTTTCTATGTCTGATTATTTCATATTACAGTGACACAAAGTGGAAATAGAGTTGCTGCAGTAAGATTATGGTTGTGTATAAAAATACTATTTTTATAGTTGATCAGGATATGTATATTATAAAAAATATAAGCATCCTTATTTGTTACTGATATTACCACCATTCCATACCAAATTATGATTGCTAGAAAAGTAAATTTTATTACCTTCCTAGAAATATCATTACTCAAATCAGACAGTTTTGACATAAATACAACCTAAAACATGATTTATTCTCTACACAAGTCCTAAAACTAGATAAATTAACCAAACAAATGAAAACCATTAGACTTGGTTTTTTTTTTATAATTTAGGAATATGATCCAAAGCTATATATTTGCATGTGGCAAAAGTATGTACACCTTTGTTTTCAGTAATTCTGTGCCCACTTGGGCATCAGTAACTTCAACTGAACATTTCCAATTCTGCATATTAGCTTTGAGAAATTTTAGCCAGCCCAAAACATTAACTTTCTTCTGCTTTAACTCTTCTTTCGTTGTATGATTTCTGAGTTTTGGGTCATAGTCTTAACTTTCTTTTGAACTTCAGTTCATGGAAAGATACCCTGCCATTTTCCTATAAAATTGGCTGGTACGATTTAGAATTCAAAATTCCAACAGTGATGGCAAGCCATCCTAGCCTGGAGGCAGCAAAGCAGGCCGGAACTATGATAACTGCCACTACCATATTTCACAGATGGGATAAGGTTCTTACACTGGAATACAGTGTTTGTCTTCCGATGAACATAATGCTTTTCATTCAAGGCAAAAAGTTCTATTTTGGTCTCCTCCGTTCAAAGAACATTCTTCCAATAGCCTTCTGGCTTATCCATGTGATCATTCACAAACTAGATGGCCAGCAATGCTGTTTTTGAAATGTAGTTTTCTGTTTGCAACCCCATCATGCACACCATTGTTCTTCAGTGTTCTACTGGTGGCGCTGTCATAAGCGCCAATGTTTGCCAATGTAAAAGAGGCCTTTAATTCCTTAGATGTTATTATCCTGGGGTTTTTTGAGACCTCCCAGATTATTTACATGCCTTATTTTTGGGGTGATCTTGGTGGGTCAAACACTCCTGAGAAGGAAAATAATAATGTTGGATTGCCTCCATTGTATATATACTGCCTGACAGAAAACAGGTGGAGTCCAAATTCTTTGGATAGAATTTTGTAATTTTTTCTAGCTGGTGAACCTCACAAGACGTTTTTCAGAGATCCTCAGAAATCTCCTTTGTTTTTAAGCCACGATATACTTCCACAAACCTGTGTTGTAACAATCTTATTTTGATAGAGACTACTCAGAATTCTCTCCTTTAAATAAAGCAGGACCACCCACATTCACACCTGATTATTATCCCACTGATTGAAACACCTAAACACTCTACTTTCCTCTTCAAATGAACTGATAATTCTAGAGATTCACATACCGTACTTTTGTCAAATACTGTTATATAGCTTTGGATCATTTCTCTCAAATTAATAAATGTAATGTTTTTGAATCACTTATTTAATTGTATTCTCTTTATCTAGTTTTAGAACTTGTGTGGAGAAGAGGTCAGGTTTTAGGTTATATTGAAAATTTAAAAGTGTTCCCAAACTTTTAAGCACCACTGTATATATTCTTATTTAGCATGTTGAGGCACCTGTTTGATCATGTTAGCAATTACATTGCTAATAGAATGTATTTCTCTCAGCCATCTTTTAAAGGTTTTTTTTAAACACGTGGATATGTAAAAACTAAGGATTCTAATTTGTTTTATAGATATTATATACTATTTTATTTATTTATTACATTTCTGTGCTGCCCATCTCACTGTCAAGTGACTCTGGGAAGGTTAGAACCTCATAAAAAGAGGAATATAAAAGTCAAACAAAAAGACATCAAACATTAAAAGTTATTTAAAAAATTGAATAAACTAGGAGACAATACACAAATACGATGGAGATGAGATCTATTGAAATATAGTATAGGAGATGACCAGGCTATGCCTGAGGGAGGGGTCAAATGTGTCATCAGTCTTGAGTCCCTTTGTACCCACTAGAGTTCTATGTCCAGCCCACCTTGAATTCCATTTACTCTTACCTACCATAAACTTGCTTGACTGTTAGTAGTTCAGATTTCTTATAGGGAGCTTACAATACAATAAACGTATATATATATATATTTAAACTGCCTGGACTCCTGATTTCCTGTGCTTGACAGATTGTTCCACCTTTCATGGAATAAGTGACCTTTTTTGTATAACTGTGTCTCAGTTTTCATGTTGTTTGGAAGGAACCTGGGCAAAAATAAATGAATCATCATTTTCTAGAGTAGCAGTATGTTTGCCAGAAGAGAAAAGAGCCTTGTGCCACACGCTGCTTTTTAATTTCTTATTTTCTCTCTTTAATTAGCTCTCTCCCAAAAAGACCTGGGAAGGTTTCATTGGTGGCTTCTTTATCACAGTCATATTTGGATTTATTGTAAGTGGATGCAGTTTCTTCTTTATTATTGTTGTATTATTTGGTGCTGGTATTGAAATTGGAATGAAGGACTAGAATTGCTGCTAATCTGTAGCCTTTAAGCATTAAACAGTAAGTTAAAACCCAATGCTCTATTCTTATTGAAGTTTATGGGTGGCAGATATTACAATGGTTGATTATTAATATGTTATGTATATTAGTAACCCTCTGTAACCACCATAATAAAAATCATTGTGGAAACTGAGAAGTAATTTAGTTCCAGCTGAACAATATGTACATTATTTCTAGATTTTTTTTTAAGACATGGCTCTCAGATGAGTATTGTGAATATAAATAAGATGTATTATGGTAAGCTGTTATCTAATGTAACTATTAAAAGTTTCATTAAGATAAATAAAACTTAGATTCAAAACCCATTTTAAAAAAGCAGGCTGCAATATAGTAAAGACATTAAAGTAATCTTAAAAATGTAAGGACCTTCTGTAATTCAAAGTAGTTTCATAGCCAGTGGGTCACTGCTGAAGCAGCTTTAACTTTGCCAGCAACCCTAATTATTTTTACTGATTGGCCTCAAGTCAGAAACTAAAAGTTTCTTAAGCACATGGTTGGGATTATTACTTATGCACTGCTCTGCAATGATAGCATTTTTCAGTAGTAACATAATTTAATATAATTTATAGCTGGATGATATGCACTGACAGATCTTTAATATTGTTCTTGATATTGCCAAATAGAGTTCTGCAGCCATAAATAGGGATAAGGAAGAACAGCTAGTTTTGAATAATAAACTGAATCCATCAGGTGTTCTTGCTGTTCCTGGGTGGCTCATGGAATAAGATTTATGTTGTCCTAATTGGTATAAAGGACAATGTGAGATAGTGGGTTGCAAGATTTATAGACATTCTACCTGATATAAATCCTAAAAGGACAGATACTTTTAAGAATTGACTTAGAAGTAGACAAGGCCTCTTCTTAGTCTGCACGCCAGCATTCAGTATTGCAAATGTGTGGGCATTTTGCTTAATTTTAGTAATAGTTTGGTAGTAATAGTTGAATAATGGTTTGGTAAAAATTAAAAGTTATCAAGAGTGACAGGTTTAGCCAGCCAGCCTAGCCAAGCTGTGTCTCTTCCTCCCAAGCTTTCTTTCCAGCCACCATTTACCTAATTTCAGAGGATATAAAGGCTCGGTGGAGGATTGGAGAAGTTCATAATTACACCCCAACTCTACAGGAAGCCCTTAAATCAGCAACATCTAAGGATCTCTATTGTCCTTTCAGGTTGCGCATCTTCTGGCACAATACCAGTACTTCGTATGTCCTGTGGAATACAACAGCGAAACTAACAGGTTTGTCACAGAATGTGAACCATCAGAACTTTTCCAGCTAAAGAAGTACTCCTTACCACCATTGCTTCAAGTTGTTCTGAGAAAGGTATGTAAAGCTAAGCCATTAAAGAAAAGCTAGATCTTAAGCATTCAGAAAATTGGCTACAAAAAGAGCTAAAGCGGGGGTGTCACACTCGCAATGTCACGTGATGTGTCGTGACGTATCGCAACTTTTTTTTTGCCATTGCCGGCAATGGGGTGGGCGCGGTTTCGCCTACTACCTCATAGTTCCCTTCGTCCGGTTAGATTCCACAGGCTGGGCCTCCTTCAGGTCCCGTCGGCCAAGCGGTGCCATTTGGTGGGGCCGCAGGGGAGGGCTTTCTCTGTGATGGCGCCACGTCTTGGAACCAGCTCCCCCCTGGAGATTAGGACCGCTCCCACCCTGTTGGTTTTCTGCAAGCTGCTTAAGACCTGGCTTTTCCGGCAGGCCTGGGGTTTATAAAATCTGACCCCTGGATGATTGTTATTGTATTGTTTGTTTTGTCATGTTATATGGTGTTTTTATTGTTAGCCGCCCGGAGTCCTGCGGGAGTGGGGCGGTCTATAAATTTTAAAAATAAAATAAAATAAATGTTGCATCTGGACCGTAGGCCGGCAGTTTGACACCCCTGGGCTAAAGTATCTAAAATGCCCAGCTCTCCTTCCGGTTAGCTTGTTAGAACGAATAAAATAACGTTAGGAACAAGCATTTCACCATATTTCCCACAGGTACAAGAATATATCACATAGAAAATCACTGTTAAGTTTTTCTTTTATGAAGAAAAACGCAGTGACTCAGAGGGTAAAGATGCTGAGCTTCTCAGCTGGAAAGCTAACAATCCAGGTTTGAGACCCGAGCGCTGCGCAACAGGTTGAGCGCCTGTTATTCCTGCCCAATTAGCAGTTTTAAAGCATGCAAATGTGAGTAGATAAACAGGTACCACTTCAGTGGGAAGGTAACCGTGTTCTATGTGCCTCGGCGTTCAGGCTTTCTGGCCACCTGACCACGGAAGTGTCTTTGGACAACGCTGGCTCTCTTGACTAAGAAACGGACATGAGTACTGTTCCCTAGAGTTGGACATGACTGAACAAGGGAAACCTTTACTTTTAGTTTTTTTTCCCTTTTATGACACTCCTCTATCCTTGGCAAAGGGTTAGAACCTCATTTGACCCAGTATGAATAGGCAGAAAGAAAGGTCCATTTTGCACTTTGATAGCAAGACGTGAAACAAACCAATTCTGTGGATTGTCCTTTGGGTTTAAGAAGGACTTTCTACCACCTTGAGAACTTTCTTGCAGCTAGAATGCCCAATTATGTGCCTTTCATTTAAATAACAAGAGTATAATTCTGGTCCAAGTCTCTGATTATACACATCTTTCTTCTGCTGGACAGAGCTTCAGTTACTTTGCTTGTTTCTATGCCTGGATAGATTAACTTGATGATGCTGATGAGGAAAGAACTCATCATCCAGCAACACGGCTTGGGTGAAATCATACTTCTTCTGGCCTAAGCTAGCCTCAAAAGAGGATTCATTTACCCTTTTCATAACAGAAAAGGATCATATGAACTTCTGTGGATGATATATCTCCAACCTTTATTTCAACTTTTACTATGACTGCCAGGGGTATTTCTTGTTTGTACAATTAAGTTGTCAGTTTTGCTTGAAAGCTTTTAATCCTTTAATATGCTAAATTTAGGACTAATTTTCTCTGTGTTAATGTCAAATAAATGCTGATTAAAAATTAACACTTATGTCTTATTGCAGGAAACTGTGACGATGTATCCATTCCAGATGCACAGCTTTGCATTATCAACATTTGCATCTTTAATTGGGCCATTTGGAGGGTTTTTTGCTAGTGGATTCAAAAGAGCTTTCAAAATCAAGGTGAGTGCATAACCTACTGTGGCTTTTTGCAAGTACACATTTTAAAAAATGTTTCTTCAGTTGCTAAAGATGATAAATTAATATTAATTGACTACTGCAGTGATAATTAACTTTCAACACATTAGTTTAAAAGATAGCAACAACGAAACCTCATAATGTTTAATGATTTAGAGGGGAAAGAGATGTCTCATATTCACAAAAGTCTGTTCAATACAAAAACATGCAAACATAGCAATTTATGTTATTTGGGTAATGAGATCATTATGCAAGTTAGGCCACTTGTATCAATTTATGCCTTTGTGTGATGGCCTCATTATGCAAATGGCATAAATGGATACAAAAAATGTAATTTGCATAAAAACATTATGCAAACATTTGCATAAAAACATTATGCAAATAGCCCAAGTCAATCCAAAATAATGTCACTTGTATGTCATTATGCAAATGACAACATTGCTACAAATTATGTAATTTGCATAATGACATCATCACCACACACTTTTGCTAATTACTGGTTGGAATGCTATGCATTGTCCATTCTACTGAGATCTGCCAGATCAGACTTTCACTGTGATAATGTTCAGTTGGTTGACAGTCCTATTAAACCAAGGGTAGGCAACCTTGGCTCTTTTATGACTCGTGGACTTCAACTCCCAGAATTTCTGAGTCAGCTGCTGACTCAGGAATTCTGGGAGTTGAAGTTCACGAGTCATAAGAGAGCCAAGGTTGCCTACCCCTGTACTAAACGGTTCTAACTGTACTCAAATACTTAATATAGGGACATCCTTTTCTCTTTTAAGGATTTTGCTGATACTATTCCTGGCCACGGCGGAATAATGGATCGTTTCGATTGTCAGTACTTGATGGCTACTTTTGTACATGTCTACATTACCAGTTTCATAAGGTATGTTTCTGCAAGTGGTCATTGTAGAGTTTCTTGGGAAAAACACAAATGCTTTTGTATCAGCCTTGTCTCAAACGCTGGGCTGTGTCAAACTGGTGTTGAGAGCAAAGAAGCTAATTAAACCATTCCTTTGGACTCCAAAATGGGTGAAACTGCAGCTAGGAAGCTGTACGTAGTTCCCCAGCCCCTCATTTTTGCACCCGGGTTTTCTGAGAATGGGGTGCTGAACCCCAATCAAATGGCCAGGTTTTGGAGAAAGCCCTCTGGGAAGCAAACTGTTTAATTCTCATCTGTAACCCCCCAACACCAGAAAATCTGAAAAAAATTGCCAAGAAAAACTGGCAATGTGATTGGAAATGGAAATGGTTTATCTTCCAGAGACTAACCATAGCCGTTTTCATCCACTAAATCAGCTGTCTGCCTGCTTCCTGACAACCTAGTGCTAATGTTGTGTTGCCCCACTGTGGGAGCTGCATTGTTGCCAGTGTGTCCTGAATACTGTTTGCTAAAAGGACTGTATAGCTTTATAGTCGGCCCTGTTGATTCTTCTCATCCTCAAAGTTTACTCACTTTCTGCTCTTAAAAATAATAATACCTTAAACATTTTGAGCTGAAATAAAAATATATCCCAACAAGCAGCCTTTTTAGAGGAATGGAATGAGACTGTTTCATTTTGCTAAGGAAAGCTCAGCATTATTTTTGCAAAAGAGGCTGCATCAGTCTTTTGTGAGTTCCTGAATGTGTCAGCAATTAGAAACCGAAGGCGCAGTAGTGTTTGCTTATAAAATGATATCTAAGGAAGGCACAGAGAGGATGTATTGTTTCTGTTTTCAGGCTAAAAATAGAAAGTATAAATAAGGGTAGCAGTGCAAGCAATTTCTTCATTTCATAGAATTTTGTTTTAGCTCCAAATAAGGAAGGATTACCATGGTATATAATCAGAATCACTTATTTTCACTTGACTTGAACATTGTGTAAAATACAGGTAGTCCTCAAGTTGTGACCACAATTGAGCCTAACATTTATGTTGCTACGTGAAACGTTTGTTAAGTGTGTTTGCCCCATTTTACGACATTTTTGCCACACTTGTTAAGCGAATCACTGCATTTGTTAAATTAGTAACAGTTGTTAAGTGAATCTGGATTCCCCATTGACTTGGCTGATCAGAACATTGCAAAAGCTGGTCACATGACCCCCGGGACAGGGCAACCGTCATAAATGTGAACCACTTGCCAAGCACCTGAATTTTGATCCTGTGACCACGGGGGATGCTGTAACGATCATAAGGGTGAAAAACAATTGTAAGTCACTTTTTCCAGTGCCGTTGCAACTTTGAACTAAGTGAACGGTTGTAAGTTGAGGACTACCTGTATTTAGCAAAAATCCTGGGTCCCACTTGTTATTTTCCTTATCACCTAAAATCACTATTCCAGTGGCATTTGAAACAGGGAAGCAAAGCAGAGATGAATTAGGGATTCATCTGAGCAGAAATGAGAAATGCAGAGCTCTGATGGCAAAGCCAGTACTGCTTGCATCCTCTCATGCGGAATCTGTATTAGTGCTTGGTCAGCCATGCAAGAGAAGTCAGCCATTTATGCTTTAGATGGCAAAATCCTCTAGTTATCTAATAGCGAGTTCCCTGGCAGCTATTTATAATGGGAAAGGAGGCTTGCTATTGTTAGAGGAAGTACTTTGTGTTCCTGGAGAACAGGATCCAACCTAAGTAAGGATTACAGAAGCAGGTTTTGTAATCTAAACAGAAAGATTTATTCACAGGAAGTCCATGAGGTAGTCAGAAAAGCTTAATGCTCAGCTAATAGTCAAGAGGAGAGCTCTCATGGATGCAGGCTAGAAAACAAAAGCAGGAAGGAAGGAACCCTGAGATTAACAATCAAATAAACAAGGAGCAGGAAGGAATTAGATTTACAGATGAAATGCAGGATTTGTTGTTGGCGTATTGTCCCCCCCCCCCCCACTGCTCCTTGTGGTCAGTAGGTTATGAAATGCTAAGAGGCAGCACATCCGAAATCCCATCTTCAGCAATGGTGATCAGTTGAAATTTGCCTTTTTTGCTTCTGTCCCTCGCAAAACTGTTGTAGTGTGCTTATTTTGCTTCCAGCTCACACTGCTTAAACAAAAATGACTGACTGAAAAGCCCAGGCCGCCTCACAGCTAGATTTGGCAATGCACTCTACATGGGGCTATTCTTGAAGACTACTCAAAAGATTCAGTTGGCTCAGAATGTACCAGTACAGGCAGGGTTCAGGAACAGAGGGGCATTACCACCTCTACTTACCAGACTCCACAGGTTGCCAGTTGCTTCTGGGTGCAGCTCAAAATTCTGGTTGTTGGCTCTAAAGCCCTACGTGGCTTAGGGTCAGCTACTTGATGGATCCTAGTATCTACCCGGTGGCTTTGATCCAAGAGAGTTGCTGTGCTCTGGGTCTCTTCAATTAAAAAGTGCCGTATATTGGGACTCCAGCAGCACAGCCTCTGGGTTACAGCACCAGCCCTCTGGAATGAAGTTCCCAAGATCCTCCTGGTATTTTGGAGTGCTTTGAAGGCCAGACTCTTCATCAGGCCTTTGGCAAGAAAGGGGATGGATCCTTCTGAGGAAGGGGCATGTTTTTGCTGCTGCCTAGTTTTGCCATCTTTGCATTTGGGGGTTTCTCTTTTATTGCTGTATTGTTTTTATAATCGATACACAAATTAAACAAACACATAGAAAAGTGGCACTGCAGATTGAAATGTTGTCTTCTTAAATGTAATCACCAGAGGTCCGAATCCCAGCAAATTGCTGAACCAACTCTTGGTACTCCAGCCAGAGGAGCAATTAAACATTTATAAAACTTTGAAATCACACCTCATTGAGAAAGGCCTCCTCCAGCCATCCTTGGGGGAACAGGAGGACTGAAGGATGGACTACCAAGGGAAGCCCAGCTGGGACTGCAGCTCTACTTCGGTGGAGAGAGGCGTGTGGGAATCAAGCCAGCCTGTGTCCAAAGATATGACTGTTTACGGAGAATACTGTGAACACCCGGGATGCCATGCAAGATTTTAAGTTTCTTTTTAACCAACCGCATGCTTTTGCAATAATTTATATTCTTGAATTAATGGAATGAGACTTCTTGGCTTTGGTCTTAACTGTTCTGTTCTGAGCAACGATGCACATGCTCCTAGTAAATAAAAGTTAAAGAAACAATTAGGGTGTGCAATTTATATATAAAAAAACCAACCCTCATTTAGTGCAATGATATTCATGACACCAGCTCAGTGAATGGCATTTTATAGTACAGTGTTGGTATCTCAAGTTATTTGATAATATAACTTAAGTAATAACCGAATGGCAGTAGGAGCTGTTTTGCTATATTGCTTCCTTTCTTCCCATCCCTGCCAAAGCAGAGAAATGGGCAAATTTGAATCTTTTTTGAGTTTCTCAGGTTGACTGTGTTCCATAATAAAGAAACAAAACCAAAACCCACTAGGTATGTATTGGGGAGAGAAGAGTCTAGGGCAGGGGTAGGCAACCTTGGCTCCTTTATGACTCATGGACTTCAACTCCCAGAATTCCTGAGCCAGCATGGCTCAGCTTGGAAACTCTCCCTTTCCCCTCAACATGGCTGGCTCAGGAATTCTGGGAGTTGAAGTCCACGAGTCATAAAAGAACCGAGGTTGCCTACCCCTGGTCTAGTATGAGCTTTTAGAGTATCTTTTCTGTGGGAGTTCAAGTGAGGATTGGATACTCGTTAACTGGATTAGGGGGCTCTAGTTACCTGAGAGGGGGGGGGGCATTTTCCCAAGCAATTTCCATTCAGTGCTTTTAGGCTCCCAAGAAACAATGCCTCAAAATGTTCAGATGAGCTAAGTTTAATTGTTCTGTGTCTTTTACGGTAAGTGCAATAGAAGGGCTCTTGGGCAATTAGAATGTTTTCAGGAAGTACCGAGGCTTGGTTCAGTGTGGTTTTCTACTTTTATGGGATGGTTTGTTTCCATCATCTTAACCTGGAAGGAGGACTTCAAGCACCTGCTCTATCTGAAGGACAACACTGAAATGTGCTCAAGTTTATTCAAACTTTTCTTGAGCCTCGCATAAACTGTCACATTTTAAAGAGCTTAATTTATTTAGTTCTTCTGCATGATTTCTTTCATCATGTCGCAGTCCCAAAAACTTATTTTTAAATTCAAATAACAGTAAGTGGGAAGCCAAAAACCATGGTAAGAATATGACTGACTAAATAGGATTTAAGGTATTACAGCTGCAGCCTTTACAGACTTCCTTGCTATGCAAATGAAGGGAGCAGTTCAGTTCATTTAATTGGATTGGGCAAGATAACTTCTAGGATTTTTCCCTACAAATTTAATTTGAATGTTAATTTTCTTTGCAGTGAGCATTCAAGGCTTCTTATTTTGGTAGGATTTTAAGGCAACCAGCTTAAGCCCTATTTTTGTCCTGTTTGGCTTACCTTTTTAAAGCAGTTTTGTGGAATTGACTATCGGTCTTTGACTTCCAAAATGATGAAGCGTGTTTGTTTGATTTTCAGCAATAGTAAGATTACTCTGGACAAGGCTAAAATCCAATAAATTCAGACTGTTATCAACCGAAACCGCTGTAAATGAGGAATATTGCCAATATTTAAACACTGGGGATTCCTTGTAATCTGTCTTTAGTAATAGGAAAGCAGCAGTAGTGTTTGTCCTGTCTGTATTGCTCCATTACTAGCAAAAGCTATAATAAAAGCTTATAATAAAAGCAAGAATTTTTTCTTCAGCCATTGTCTTTGGCCCTCCTAATACTTGCAGCAGCTGAGATGGTTTTGGCTAACCTAAAGAGGCCCGAGGCTGGCTTCAGATTCTTTTCTTGAACATCCAAAGACACATTTGCCATACTGAGAAATTTGTATGGAACCGGGGTTCTCTGAATATGTCCATTGTGCAGTCCCCTGACATCCACTCTTTTTCTTTTCAATTGTGGTGGTTGTAAAGTCAGGCACCAGACGTCTCCAGACGAGACTGGTGTAGAAGAGCCATCCCTATAGTCACACTATGAAATAGATCACCAGATTTGCTGAGGCTACTTACGCCTTTGGGATGAGGCTGCAGCTACTCGTAACTGAAACCTGTCTGGGTAGGTGCCATTTCTTCAGGTTGCATAAAATACTTGTGTGGTAGGGATTATACAGAATGAATCCCGCGGTTGGCATTACATATCCTCCTTTATGTTCAGCAAGGTGGGGTAGAAGAAGGAAGAAGGTGTAGATGAAAGATTAGATTTCTAAAATGATACTACCAACTTTCACACTAAACAAGACGATAAAGCCCAGTGGACATGGCCATTTAAGGAGAAAAGCAAGGCGAAAAAGACCATACCTAACAGAGCTGCTGGCATCGGGTTAAAGATTAGTTAGGAATATTTGCACTGAACACGCTAGTCATTGTACATCTGTAAAAAAATAAGACTTTAAAAAGTTTTCTTTAGAAAACATGCTACTTATTCCATCTTGATGGTGAATCATAAAAATATGTAAAGTTCAGTTTTAATATAAAATTGTAATTTTGGGGTTATGTTTGTGTAATTTTTAAATATTTTTTAATTTAAATTAGTTTGTAATTAAGCAACTGAATGCAAATGAATTAAAGCAGTCGGCTTTGTTTGCACTAATAAGGGACACCACTGTATAATGCTGCTATTCCTTCAGCTGAAAAAGCCTTCTTGATAATGCTAGTTGTGCTTCAGCATCATTTTATGTTTAGGATATCTTTTAAATAAAACACTTTTTGGTGACAGTCTAAGAATAACATAATAAACTGCTACAAAAATATTTCAAAAGACGTTTATATATGTGCTCAAACATATATAAGAAGTAGTGCCAATAAGCCATTCACAAAGAATGAGTTTCACTGTATAGGTTTAATGAAAGCAACTGGAAAATGTCCGAATTGTATTGGCTGAATTAGAATGTGTACTGGATGTCTTTTTAAGAATACAACTCCGCTTTAGGTTTTTCTTTCCGTTATATGCAATAGAGGTTTTCAGCAATCTCTATTCTAACAGTGTGATCCAAAGGAAACTTTTGGCTTATATCTGCCTTTGCACTTTTCAGTAAACACTTCCACTTGCTTAGCAAAATTGTGCATACTGTAAATGTTTGAACATTGAGATGTGTTTTAACTATTTTGTAGAACTGAGCTGGAGATAATAAAGCTCTGCTGGAAAAAAAACAGCATTGTGAGGCTTCTGTGTATGTGAAAAGTATTTACACATTGCAGTTAATTTGTAAGTTCTACTTTAATTCCTCAAGAAGCTAACTGATGCTTCTATTAGGTTACTAATAAACCAATGGAAAAGTCATTTTTTTGAATCCAGTTTTGATATTTAATGCCCAGGAACACACAGTATAAACTTGGTTAGCAATTACTGTGTTTGCTTATGTTCCCATTTTAGCCGTATTTTGAAGTAATGGTCTAATTCAGTGGTTCTCAACCTTTTTAATGCTACGACCCCCCAACTGGTTATAAGTCAAGGACTACCCAACCAGTTGTAAGTCAAGGACTTTCCCTGTCCAGGAGCGCCGCACATGCATGGTGCCGCCCCCTGCACCGGCCGAGGCATAGCTGGCAAGCGGCAGAGACAGTGCAGGCTGACCACCAGCTGGGCTACTAGCTGGCCCAGCCAAGGGAGGTAAGGCACCCACCGGGCCCCACGCGCGCCAGCAACCCTCCCTGTGCCCGCCGGCCTCCCACCTCCCACCCCTGGCCCTCTTTTACTTACATTTTTACTAGTTGCTCAGCAGGAAGGGGTGGAAACTTCCAGACAGCTCGCCTTCGCTGCGGACAACTTGCAGCACTGTTTGCAGACTGGGGCTTTTGGCGGGCTCAGCAGGACAGAGACAGCCTAGACAATTCCTATTGGCTTTTGAAAGCCAATAGAATTAGACTCTATTCAAGAGAGTAAAATATTAGACTCTATTCAATAGAATAAAAGGGAGTAGCACAGCTAAGGAAAAGGGGAAAAAAATGGCGGACTGCGTTGTTTGGCGACCCCCGTGAAATGGTCGTTCAACTCCAAATGGGGTTGCGACCCACAGGTTGAGAACCGCTGGCCTAATTCAAGCAACACGCTCCTCTACAGAAGCACAAACTACCAATCCAATTCAATCTTGTGCCAATCCAGGCCTGATTATTTCTAGAGGTTTTTTTTCACTTTCAATTAACTCTTATTAGGAAGGGGACTTAATGCAACATAACTCATTTATTCTAGAACTTGATTGAAATGCACAGCAGGAGTAAAAAACAAAACATTTACAAAAAAATTCAGCTAAATTCCCTTTAGGAAAAACACATTTACTCCTTGATCCAAAACTTCCTAAAAGAAAAAAAAACCCTGCTGTTTGCAGAAATTGAGGACTGTTTCAAAGCGAATGAAAATTTATTCTGTGTACTACGATGACACATGGACCTGTGTGTGAAGAACTTACTTAGCCAGGCAACTAAGTTATTTTTTTTTTAAACTTTGCGTACAGTTTTATGCATTTGCTTGTGAGGTAAGCAGTTTAGGAAAAGTTACGTATCATTTCCTAGCCTCTTAATTGAGTTGCCCTGGTTACAAAGCTGCAGGGCTTAGAAGAGAGATGCCTCTACCCACAAAACATCTATTATTTTCTGAGAGCAATTAAGCCACACGGGGAGGCTTCAACTTGTTTGCTGCATAGATGAGCATGTTTCAAATAACGGATAGCCCTAGTTTCTAGTTAATTGGAATCCTACTGTGATTCCATTTCATAGTTTTCCTTTATGTCTTATATTTTTTGAAAGACAGCAGATTTGGAAGGGACATCAAGCACAGATGCAGGTTAAGAGGAATATCATGGATGGTAAAAAGTTCTATGTAAATTCAAGGAAATAGTTCTTTACACTTCATGCTTTTAGTTCTACTATAGCACAATATGTAAACTTTAGCATTCTAAATACCATGGTTTTTATTTGAATAATGCAAGCTTCTGGAAAACTCACTTTTCATTCAAAATTAAACAGTCCTATATGCTTAATCACTGCAGCAACTCGGATCAAAACAGTTCAGTGCTTTGTATTAACTTCTTAGTTTGCACTGGATAAACACTTGGGAGTTACTTTGATTTTGGGGTGGGTTGCATTTGACTTGGCTGGAAACAGAATTCTTGGTGCATGCTCCTTATCCAGGAAAAGCTGGTTAGACAATTTTTCAAAGAGATCTGGACAGAAAAACTTGGTGGTAAATAGTATTTATTTGAAATGAAAAACAAAAAAGGTACCTGAACTATTGCATTTAATCATGTATTGTATTTGTGTTACTCTACCTTTTTGCATTGGAGACAAATATACAATAAAACATTCAGATATCACAGATTGCACACTAGATAGTAATTCTTCAGGCCTTTTACATAACCACCAAAAACAGATATTGGATTCTTCAATATAGTACAAAAGTCCACCCCTCCAATCCTAGCCAGTTATCTTCAATTTCCTCCTGTTGCTGTACAAATAAATGGCCATTTACCCCAAGGCTTACAAATTAATAACAGGACAAAAAATATACATTATACTGACACAAAAAGTCAGTTGTGTTAAGTCATGCAACAAGTAACCAAACTTGCTGAAATTAAAAATATTTTCTAAAAACAGTTTTAACTGCATAAATATTTTTTTTTTATACACAGTTCATTTACCAAAACCAAAGGAGTCTGGAACAAAGCAAACAAAAAAAAGTTCCTACTAATTTTTATACATAAGAAAGTGCAAAATAATGTCTCTAAAAAGTCTTTTGCTCTTGGACTGGCAGATGACGGGTGGGGCTGCCACGCTGACCTTCTTAAGCATGAACACTACAGTCACACATTACAAACAAAGAGTGTATGGACACCTTCAGGGAGAACCACGTCAAAGGGTGAGGAGGGAGGGTGAGGTGAGCTGCTTGACAGTGCAAAGGGCGATTTGGCTGCTGCTCAACCAATGTTCAGTCGCAAAAAAGCAAATTGCAACTGGTGGGAAAAATAGACGCACTGTTTGTGTCGAGACACAAGAGTTGCTCAATCCAATCTCAGTGTCTTCAAGGTGGGTGGACTTCAACGTTCAGAATTTCCCAGCTATGGAATTCTGGGAACTGAAGTCCACACAGCTTCAAGATGCTGAATTGGGCTAGAGCAGTGTTTCTCAACCTTGACAATTTTAAGGCATGTGGACTTCAAGTCCCAGAATTGCAGCCAGCATTGCTGGCTGTGGAATTCTGGGAGTTGAAGTCCACATGCCTTAAAATTGTCAAGGTTGAGAAATACTGGGCCAGAACGTTACTGATAAACATTTATGGGACTGGGGAAAAAAAAAAGCATTCTGACAGGAGCTGTTGAGGCTTCGCTACACCAAAGAATTGTATTGCTCAGTATCCCTTTAATCCAGTGGGACTTGAAGGGGCTTCAAAGTAGGAATGGATGGTGCCACACCATTCCTTGGTGCAGAGGAACCCTCCACATTTCCCTCTCTCATCAACAGGATGCAACTTTGCAATTGCCCTTGGAGTAGATAAATAAGGGTAGAAATCTGGAAGACTTCATCCCCAATCAAGTAGCTAATTTGTTCAGCACACACTGAACTTTAAACACAAGCATACACATTTAACCAACACTGCCACACAGGAGAAAAGTCACCCTCCCTCTGAGAACACCAAAGGTAAAAAGTGTAGAATAACACCGGTACAATATGTCTTATATACTCAAAATTAGGAAAGTCAAAACAACAACAACAACAAAACAAAACCCAGTAAACTGCTATGTATCTTCTAATGAGCCAGCATTAGTGTCGAAGATGTTAGTGCCATCCAGTGCTTGGAATTTTATTTGGAGGGATTAATTGAGAGTTGAAAATTCTCAAGCTGAAAAAAGACAATCTTCAGATTAAGAATTTCCAAGTTGAATTTTTCTTTATTGGGGGAGGGGAGAATTTTCAGTGGAGTGAAGGTGATTTGAGAGAATTTCAACCTGCTTTTTCTTTTTTACTGACCTTATAGTTGTACTTTAGAAATTTCTGTTGTTAGGCTGAGTTTAATGACCACATAAGCAGCCCTGTGCCTATGTTTGCAGAGTCTGTGTTACTCCAGCGTAACCTCAGTAGTTAAAATAATATAGAGAAACTTGGCAGATATCAAACTTGGCAGCACTGAGCAAGGCAGAGTAGCCATTTGATCAATGCTGGTTATAATAGAAACATCCAGTGGGGGGAAAAAACTTTCATAAACCTGTGTGTGCTTGTGTGAAAGGGCTCTTTCAGGGACCTGAAATACATTTATTACAACCACAATTAGGTCTTGCAGTCCATCATAACAATTAAAAAGGCCATCAATATACAGACTTAACCTAATCACTGCATTAATTTCTACCCAGGGATGTTTAGGCAGAGAAAATTGCTCGGTACAAACTATTCAAATTATTTTAAATTCATTTTCCTCCCAACTGAAGTGTTAACAAATCACAATGTTTATGTTGTGCTACGTTCGATTCCAGTTCATGTGCCGTGTTAACTTTGAGTTACTTTTTTTTAACTGCTTCTGTCTTACCATAGTTAAAAGGCAGTAACAATAATCTCATCACCCATTAACTAAGGAGAGAAAAGAAAAGAAAAAAAGAAAGAAAAAGAAAAAGGAAGGAAGGATGGAAGGAAGGAAGGAAGGATAAAACCAGTATATGGGAAAAAAAGAAAATAAAGAAATATACTTCAAAGCCTCACTTCACTGAAATGTTGTTTGATTGGATCCGATCTGTATATTTTTCATTATATCACAAATGCTAATATATAAAATAGTTGAATTTATGTCCTCTGAGTGAACCAATGAATGATGAAACTGGGTGCAACAACAGGTTCAACTCCTAAGTAAAGGAGTAAACCTGAATTTAATTTTGCAACTCATTGGGACCCCTCTAAGCATTGCCCAATTGTAAGGACGAAGTTTCCAAGTCCATTTTGCAAAACAAAAACAAAAACACCAAAGAGAAAAACAATGGTCCATTGTTTTCTTTGGAAACAAAACAAAACAAAAAGTATTAAATCTGATTTTCATGCAAGCCATTTACTACTGTTTTAAGTAAGACTTGCCTTAGACCTATTGGGATTAGCTGATTACTTACAATGGCAAAGTATGAGCAGGCAGCAAGGCCCACACTGTATAAAAACAGACCTTATTTAAATATGAAGAC